GGACAGGAAAGAGAAAACAGAAATATTTGTCTTGTAGTTTTGGTATTTTTTTCATTTCCTGGATTTCTCCTCTCTCTAACCTTAGTTTGGTTTGGGATTCCTTTTAATATCAGCTTGACACTACTCCTAGCTAGCAAATTAAGTTTACACCATAATTATCTGGAAAATGCATTTAAGTCTTCTGTGCAGTGAATGAGGGCCTGGTCTTTATATTTATAGTGTCCTTCATTTGTAAGTCAGAGTTCTGGAGTTTGAAATTACTTACCAGATGACTGAGAGGAAATTGATTATTTATAGGGGAAAAGAGCCCTCATTTATTAATTCCTTAATAGGCTAGGATAGGTACTTTTTGCCTTGCATGCATACCTTGAATTTTTGTATTTGTAATATAAAGGATAAAAAACTGACACCAATTTCTTTGTTTTATTTATTTATTTTTTTTTCTGTAAATAAAACCTGTCTTCAGAATATATTTAAGAGAGGAGTTATTTCAATGAAGCTTGTAATTATGTAGAGGTAAGAAATACATTCAGGCAAATTAGGTTGAGGCTATACACTAAATCACTAAATAAACACAGATTCAGTGACTAGACCTGTATGATTGCAAATGTTTGCCTGCTACCATTTAGGTCAGTTACTACTATAGGGCTATGAAGAATAAATTCGTTTCTAGTGAGGAAAGAATCATTTACCAGCATTTATGTTCTACATAGTGAAATCTTTCCTAGTTTACAGCTAAATTCTAAATCTCACTTCTGTTAATTTGCTTCATCAAAAGTAAACTGACATTAGTGTTGCTCTGATGAGTTTTGAATGGACTTGGATATTTCTCTACTCGAACTGCATCCAGGTCTCCATTGCTCAAGAAGGAAGCTGCCCTATATGAGCTGTGATGGAGATACACAAAGAGAGGGTGCTCTCTCAGTCCTTTGACTCTGACATGTGATATTCTTTCTTCCTTGTCATTCCAAAGGGTGACTATTATGTCTCATGCCTTTTTTTTGTTTGTTTTGAGCTAAGCCTACAGTGATGGTAACTTCTATTATTTAATGTTTATGTATATAAAACAAAATACAGTTTTTAAATTCCTTTTGATCCATTGTAGATTTAGATAGAAAGGAACATTATCAATATTGAAATAATAATTACAATCTCAGTAAGCTAGACAAAACTTTCTACGCTTAAGAATTCAAAGAATGAAGTAAATTTGCTTTTGAAAGTTACTATGAACTGATGCTCCTATTAGATTTTGTCCAGTTGTTGTGTCTGTTCTATAACTTTTTAGCCTTGATAATCCTGGATATGTGGCATATTCTTTTGCGATCTCAGCCTATTTATAGTAAGGATAATAATTTCTGCTGATGACTAAATTTGAAGGACATTTAATAATGGCTATAAGATAAAGGCTTTACATTCAAAGTAGATTTTCTCTTACATTCAAGATAGTAATAGGTACAACATTGATATTTACACATTTCAGGGGGTAATTATTTTCTTCCTTATATATCTGGCCCTTTGCCCTTTGTGACTTGGTTTTGCTTCTTCACCGTTCTGGACTGTAATGGTAAGGATTTGTCCCTACTCTGTAGATGGTGTGCTTCACAGTGGCCGCTCCCTCCTTCAGTCTCTGTCACTGTCTAAATCACTGTCTCTGCTCCATCCCTGTAGTAAGTACTCTAATTCCTGAAACAAGATGGCGCTAAACTGCTTGCATGAGCCTGCCCCTCTACCACTACCCCCTCCTTCTGCCCCTAGCCCCAAGTTCAGTGGGAAAGGTGGTTCTCCTTTTTCCATGAGTCACAAAATGCATCTCTGAGCTGTTGCTGCTAAGATTTTTCTAAAGGCATTCATCTCTGTTGAAATGAATTCTTCTTTAAACTCGCCTTCAAGACTTTTCATTTCAGCTTTGCTAAAAGGTAGTTAAAATATCCATTGATTCTGTATGTTGGGGAATTAGTGTTATGAATAAAGGATGAAGCTCTGGTAAGAAGTATCCAAAAAGACACAATTAGTTTTCTGTACTTATTTTTTTCCTATTTATTATCATCATAATCTTGTTTATATTACATTGAATTGCATATAACTTTACAGTGTATTACATTGCTTTTCAAAAGGGAATGCCATGTACGTCAGTCAACACAGAGACATTAAACTCCTTACTTCATCATCCAATATCTTTTCATTGTTTTTCCCGATCATTATTATTATTCCATTTTGAAAATGTTGGCTGCCCCTTGCTGAGGCTAACTTGGTTCAGAAAGGCTTTAAATGTTGTCATGTTTTGCCCTTTTTCCCACCCTCTCCAAACTATGGAAACTGATTAAAGATACCCAGAGTGTTGCCCTACTTATACAAGATGACTCGTTTTCTGACTGGTAGTATGTACAGTGATAAAATATGGTTGAATGTGTACATTTCAGACTAATACATGACTGCTAGTTTGTGTGCCTTCCTTTTCATTTTACTGTTCTGTTTCTTGTAGAACAAAGAGCTTACAGCTTACCGGAGCCACCAAGAGAAAAAAGGTATTTTAACTGTTCCAATTTTTTGGAAGGATCATTTAATCCACCTTTTAAAATGTCAGCACATATTTTTTGTTATCTGTTCAATCATTTGTGGGAGTTTTCTATTTAATGATCCTGCTAAGACTGTTGTTTCCTCTGTAATCTGTACCAGTGTAGACTTGGCCAGCCCCAGATGAGCAGGCCTTAGGACTGTTCTGTTTTGGGTAATTTTCAAAGCCAAACACCTCCAATGTACAAACCAAGAGGAGCAGCTTGAGGACCTGCTTTGGAAAAGCAGCAGGCTTTCTCCAGGTCTGTTCCGCCATAACAAGACATAATGGCAGGTGCCTAAGTGGTCAGTTATACAAAGTGCCTAAATCTCTTGGGACAAGCAGTTGGCGTAATGGCTATGTCACTAGACTCTCACGTAGTAGACCGTGGTTCGAGTCCTGGACCCTGTGACTTAAACTAATGCTGGGCTTGTGTGCGTGCATGCCTGAGATCCCAAGAGGGGAATGGAGGAGAAGGGATTGCGGTGTGGCCATCTCCCCTGGGGGGTGATTTCTCACTTTCTCTCTCTCTGTGTCTTTGTGCAAAGTGCACACCCCCTGTAGCAAAAACCTCTCCAAAAGAAAAACAATGTGCCTAAATCTCCATGCTCTCTCACTATGGATTTCTTCTTCTCTTTCTTTCTCTTTCTTTCTTTCTTTCTTTCTTTCTTTCTTTCTTTCTTTCTTTCTTTCCTTCCTTCCTTCCTTCCTTCCTTCCTTCCTTCCTTCCTTCCTTCCTTCTT